ACTCTGCGTGATCTAAACACGCGGTAAGTCATACTTTTATGTATGCTGTTAGATGATAATGATAAAAAATATACGTTTTGTGGAGCACCTTCTTTAAATTGGAAACAGTTTTTGACGTCACTTTTTAATATCATGGTTGCTATCACGCATCATCTCTTACGCTTGTAAAATGGTTAATATGACAGAGATGGATAAACCAACTGATCAGGTGGAATACCAGCGAATACGGTGGACTCGAAGAAATATCTATTGATTCTTCCCTCTTGTGGCTGCCGGACATTGTTCTTTATAACAAGTGAGTGTAAATCGTGTTCCGGGCATGTTGTTGTATTCGAGACCCATTCCAGTTTGCCGTACCACGTATTTCTAATGGTCCATTTTAAAGTTGTGTGCTTTGTTGCCAAGCCTTTGAATAGGAGTGAGGCTAAGGTTGACCTTGTTGTGATAAAAACCTAGCTGCATTTCAAATGCAATTACTTTGTTATCATGCTGACTAGATACAGGTCTCTATCACAGCAAGGTCGCCTTCAGCCTCACTCCAACTCAAAGGCTTGGTAACTATGTACACAACTGTATAATGACCTATTTAAGTGACGATTTAAACTGTACCATAAGAAAGAAATGCTCAGCAGTTTTCATTTTAATGGTCACACGCCGGTGTTTCATCGATAGACTTCAAAGTGTGAACCACCATGTAAAGGATATTTAACAGTTTTACATGAAAATTTAGTTGATTTGCTCTCATTTGAAGGTCGTCTTGATTATCTATATGTGTGATAATAAACAGCGGCCAGTCTGGCTCGTGAAAAACTGAATGGTCAGTTTTAAGGCGATGTGTTAGGCTGAAAGATTGGACTGTAATTAAAAGTAATTGGTCAGCTTTGATCTCTTAGGAACGTCAATTTGCCATAGAATGATCTTTCCCAAAGTAAGATTATCGTAGTGATATTTCTTCTTTTATCTTGTATAGTGTTTTTGAAGAATTTGGCGGTAGAATGGATAACGTGAAAACTCGAATTCGAGTAAACAGCACGGGTCATTGTTACTGGGCAGCGCCTTTCATCTTCAAAACTTCGTGTCATTTTAACGTAAGAGATTTTCCTTTCGATGAGCAGCAGTGTAAACTCAAGTTTGGCTCTTGGAATCTCCACAAGGGACTACTCGATTTAGTTCCCAAGCGGAATTTGGCACCAGTGGCAAAGGAAAAAGTAGAGAATGGGGAGTGGAATCTAACATCCATCCAGATCAAGCGGAGCGAAGATGAATATGCGTGTTGCCCAGATGAGAAATACACTGACGTTACATTTTATATCAACCTCAAGCGGCGCTCTTTGTTTTACACCTACAATCTGATCATACCTAACTTTCTCATAGCTCTACTTGCCTTCTTTTCGTTTTATATTCCAGTGGAGTGTGGCGAGAGAATATCATTCGTGATCACCGTCTTACTGAGCATGACCGTATTTCTGCTGTTGGTTGCGGAGAGCATTCCTCCCACTTCTGAGGCAGTGCCAGTCATTGGAATGTACTATACTTGCTCGATCATTGAAGTCGCCTTAGCACTTGTTGCAACTGGCATCAGTTTAAAGGTGTACTACAGCTATTTGTACGGAAAAGGCTTATCACCTCGGTTACGAAGATTCCTTTTTTGTCGTTTGGGACCATTACTGTGGGTTGACACGGAAATTGTCAGCGGGGCCAAACTTGCAAAAAACAAATCGTGCCTCCTGTTTAAATGTCTCAAAAGGCCTAAGTCAAGCGTTCCACGGGATAGTGTCATCTCGATGTACAATGTTATAGAGAACAAAGCGAATCTGCTTAACGGAGTAGCGACGACAGCGAAAAACGAAGCAAATTTGCTTGCTGTTGATGCTCAGACTTCAGCTGAAACCGACATCACCCTTTTAGAGACACAAAACAGTTTATCTGGCCAAGAGATAAGACAGAGAGTCAAAAAAACGTCTACGGCGCCCGAACCGCAACATGCAGTCTCTTCGACACTGAAGGGGTACAAGGACACCGACTTCCATGCGACAGAAAGTAGGATTGCTGCGGCCATAGTGGATCGAGCTTTCATGGTGTTGTTTATTTTAGTGTTTTTCGCGTCGACACTTATCATTTTACTTTTGCCATTTATCAGGAAAGGATGATCTCAAGCCAAGGCTCAAATATGAACTAAAACGCTCTCGGGTCGCGAAGTTGTCTTCTTTTGGGTGTCTGATGAATGGAAAAAGTGGTCACGCACCAACATCTGTCACGTGAGCAAGCAAGCTTCAATGTTATAACTATGCAGCTTTTCGCGTGACATAAATCACGTTGAAGATGTAAAGTAAGAAAGAAAAATTGCCATCAAGAATGTCTTTTGGACGGAAAGTTTGATGCAAACTTGCATAAAAACAACCGTTGCCCTGCTTTTGGTTTAGCCATAAGACGAGGATTGTAACAGTTTTATCCTCGAGTTGGTTGGTTACTGTTCGCGTGGTTCAAAGTAATAATTTTTCTGAAACAATTTGGCAAAATTCTTTTAATGTGACTTTCATTTGACGAGTTTGCAAATAAAATTTTATTCTGTGGTCCATACCTTTTTTTATGGAACATTTTTGAGATTATATACACTTGCGACTATTGATTTGTATCAAAGAGATTTTACTTCATCTTAGAGGAAGGAACTCACTCGAAAAGGAGGAGCACGTAATTTTATAAATTTAAATGTAAATAATTTTCATCTGTTTTAAAATTAATGATGACTGTGTTACAACTAACAAACATGTTATGTAAATGGAAAAGCGCATAATTTTCTTTTATTATTATTATTATTATTATTATTATTATTATTTTTAAAGAAACTGTGTCAAGTTCTGTAATAAACATCCGGGTACTTAATATTTGACGCGTAACCCCTTTCCGCCTTAAAAATAAATTTCGTATTTTCCGCACTGACCTCTTTACTTTTCCCATGGAACTGTCAAGGAGAGTTTGTTTGGCCATCAGGAATGTCTTAAGTTGGTGATCATTTTCCTAATTCTCATGACCTTGATTTTTGATGCAAGGGTTATTCTGTAAGGAGAAATTAGTAGCCAGTCACCATTAGGTGTTAAAGAGTTCATCTCACTCGCCTGGCACTCCCACAGGGCTCTATTATTCCAGGCCTCCACGGTCATTCGTTACAGATACAGTAAAATCCCGCCCCCTTCAACTCCCCAGGGAAATGAAAAATGGTTCCAGTTTAATAGCGGGGGCTTGGTGTTGAATGAGCACGTTTAGTTTGGGAAGTTTTGCTAAATGTGTTACGTTTTCACAGGAGAGTAATGGGTTCCTGGTTTTCATAAATGTCATCACGTTCGTAACGATCGCAACAAAAGGTCGGGACGGACGTGTCGATCAGCTATGTTCTGACACTTATACGTTCATCAAGCGACGCTTATATCTAAGTTTCGAGTCATCAGGGTAAATTTAAGTCAAGGGTTCGAGTTAACGGTGAGTTAACCGATTTCGAGGTCGCTGATAGTAAATGACTGAAAAACAGGGTCAAATACAAGGAAAATCGGATCTTTTTTAAGTTAACGGGTGGTTTGAGTTAGCCGGGTTTGAGTCAGAGGGATTCTACTGTAGCTTGAATTGGGGATCATTGAAGCATCTTTCCACCTCAATCTCGTCCCCAGACCCCATCATTTCTCTCGCCGTCGGGGTCTCAGTGCAGTTGAGTCAGTTGACAGGGATGACTCTTTCCTTACTGTTGAAGTCCTAGCTTGAAGTCATTATTCATGGTGGGGCCCACGCTTAACCGAGCCAAAAATATGAAGAACCAGGCGCTTTTAATACATGTTACGTTACTAGAGGACAATCCTGAAGTCAGTAACATAATTTAGCCTTTACTCCACTTTAATCATTCATTGTTTGACAACATTGTAGCCTAAGAAAATTTCCAACTATTGTTTCTATTACGCCTCTTTTTAATTTGGCAGATTACAATTTCAAGTTCGCTAGATGATAACTGGATATAAGTTTTATTAAGCGCGCATTATATTATTTTTTTAACTCCCGATTTCTCGAAAATACCGTATTGCATTCAATCGTCAGTCCATAACGACTTGATCATTGATCCATCGAACAAACTTCGACACCCGAGTGTAGACGCCATATTTGCCAATTCTACCGCAGCCATCTCCCCAGGAAATGACGCCCGCGAGCACCCAGCGTTGATCATCATCACTTGCTGTTTGACTGTTATCGATGGCCAGCGGTCCACCCGAGTCTCCCTGGCAAGCGTCACCAAGTGTGCCATTATGATGGCCGGCGCAGAACATATTTGATGTGACGGGATACCTCGTGTGTGCTGCCTTGCACAACGCCTGGTCCACTATTGGTACTTTGACTTGGTGCATTCTTCTAAGGACCTCACGACCGGTTTCCTTCTTCCGGCCCCATCCTGTAATGACCCCAATGTTGCCAGTCCTTAGCAGGGTCCTATCACTGTCTTGTCTCCGCAGCGGAAGGCAAATAGGTCTGACGTAATCAGTAAATATGACGTCGGATTTCAGGTGAATAAGAGCGAGGTCTGCATCGTAGTCGGCACGGTCACTATCGTACTGTGGATGAATTACGATCCTGTCCGGACGAATGATCTGTTCTCTGGATGGTTCAGGTCTGTTAGTGTACAACTTACCAAGGCGTACCTCAACATCATTGATTGAAATTCCTGCGGAAGATCAAGTTTTCAAGCTCAACACTTTTACTCCCAAGGGTGACCAAGGAAAAATTTCTCCTTACAATGTTCTTACACTTTTAAGTAAAAAGGTAATGAGAAAAAAGGAAACCATATATTTGGGGATATTGTTTGATTTGATTCTCAAAGCCAAAATTATAAGCAATGTATGGAGTACAGTGCAGAGAAGTGATATTTTGATCTCAGGAGTGAAAGGGGTCATAACGCAACTGAGTATAAAAGTCAACCAGCCGAAGTGGATCTACATACTCCAATTTAACACAGGCGTAACATCGAACGCGTTTGATTAACCCTGAAACTGTTAAGAGTGATAAGCATCTAACTTTTCCTTACACCATCACCAATAAATCAAAACGTAAAGCCATGAGATAAAAGGAAAAAAAAACGCCACGTGAAGAAGTTCTCGATTGATTCTCTTTCTAAGAACAACAGGGAATGCATGGTCGGAAAATATGCATACTGAAGTAAGTGTTTTACAAGAGTTAGGGAGCATTTCTGTTCTGTGCAATAATTTCACTTAGATTTGCTTGCGATTAATATTATTATTTCACTCGTGCCGTCAGCCTTTCCTTGCCATCAGAAACAGATATATTGTTATTTTAAAAAATGTATCAGCAGACAAAACATAGCTTTCTCCTCCCCAGTTCCACTCTATTTCAAAGCTTTTGTTAGACTTGCAGCCTTTTAAAACCGTCACACGACCTGTCACGTGGCTTAATGGATATCTAATCCCTTGGCCTCTCTCCTACCTCATTTTCCGCGCTAGGACTGGGATGTTTGGGCGAGAGAAGCACTCACGTGTGACTCTCTAGATGTCGTCACGGAACTTAAAATAAGATCCAAGTTAGGTCGAGCCGATGAAGAGGGACTGAGACCGTACTTTTTGTTAATGGTAGCTTGGATCTTTAAATCAGATCGCGCATGCGTAAATATGCATCCAATTCTTACCTCCAGAAGAAACACAGTGGGCAGCTGTCACAATCCACCTCTCAGACACAAGTGATCCTCCACAGAAATGTTTGTTGGCCCTCGTGTTCCACAGACTCACTTGCCACGGATAGTGACCAGCTTCCACCTTTGTTCCGCCAACAATCTTGCCACGAGTAGTTAGTGTCGGCTTACCACAATCTATACAGCGAAAAACAAACAAACAGCATTGCGCCCTTTTAATCTTTCTTCAGGACGAGAGAAGACTAAATTTGAAAAATAGTTGGTTATGGTAGCAGACTCCCGATACCACACATATTTACTGTTATCAAAGTAAACCTATACATTACCTATAAAGCAGGATCACTTGCATTGGAACAAAAAAAGCTATTTCGAGTTTATTTTGGAGTAAATAACGAAGAGGAAATTTCAAAGACGAAAAAAATTGCACGAGCTCTTTAATCGAGTGCAAAACGTAATTTGTGAAAAATTAACGTGTTTTTCCGCGTTTTAGGCAGTTTGGTTGTTTTTACTATGAGTTCTCATTCGCTGTTCAAGTCATTTTTCTTTCTCCAGATTAGCCTTTGTGATTACTTTGGTTATGGTTTTAAAATTAATTTCCTGCAGTTTTTGTAAAGCTTTTGATTTCATTCTCAACTTTCTACATTGTTTGGGACTGAGTGAGTGTTCTCAACCAGTGAGGATGCTGAAATAATTACATGTATATTTAAATGTTCGTGATTCCTATCACACGCCTGGCGAAGTTTGTCTTAAGTAAGAAATAAAAATGAATAACAGCTTAACATTTAAAACCCAAAACAGAAATTTGTTTGCTTCGGTCGTCTTCTGATGAGACTAACCTGAGTCCAGCGGTCGCAACACCTTCAGATATGCGCGAGCCAGTTTAGTGCCTGCCTTGTTCGTTGCATTACAGACATACCAGCCTTTGTCTTCACGGTATACGCGCAGAATCAGTAGACTACCACTTGCCAAGACCGCAAAGTGACTTCCAGTCAGGACTTTGCCGTCTTTGTACCAAGTGATTTTTGTATCAGGGGTTGAAGCGGAACAAAGAAAAGTGCTGGTTTTTGATTCCTCGACAGTCTCGTTGCTCGGTACAAACCGAAATCGTGGCGGAGCTGAGAAAAAAAGGTTTTTATCTTTTATTATCATCATTATTATTAGTATGGGTGTTATACACATTTGTTGTATGGCTGGGTGCACGAGCGGGAGAGTGGAAACGAGTCCTATGATCGGATCGGCTATCCGACTTTAGTTTGCCTACTCGGGTTTGCCCGCATTGATCCGCAGAAAAATTTGGCTCTAAGTTATTTTAGCCGGAGTGAATACTTTGCAACTTTTAAGAACTCTCCGTTGAAACAGGAAAATGTTTTCTGGTAGTTTTTTATTAAAGTGAAATCGCGTCTCGATGATCAAAAAAATCCAAAAACCGTGTCGGACTTCTTGAATCCTTTTTAAAATAGTTTGTAAGATTCGTTTGCGATACAACGATTCCTTCTTTGACTAAGCTTGTTTTGTTACCATGTTCTGTGCTGGCGATTACGATGAGACATTTGGTGATGCATGCCGAGGAGAATTAGCTGGACCGCTATTCATAAAAACGGAAATATTGTACTCGGCCAACACCCAGCCATCTAGCGAGGGTACCTAATTAGCCCACCCCTTCTCCCTTCCCAAACCTCTGAAAAAAAGGACGAAGAAACCCCATTATTTAAAATAGGTATACTTACTGAGACATTCGGGAGCCTTTTCACTCCATTGACCGTTGGCCAAACACATGCGAGTCACGGGACCGTGAAGGTCAAACTGAGGAAAACACGTGTATCGTATCACAGCGCCTTGTGGGTAATCATCGCCTTCAGGGGAGGGGTGCCTAGAACCATGTTTTGGATGGCGGGGGTCTGGGCAACGGACGCTTGCGTCAACTGTAGTTAAAATCAAATTATGTATAATTCGTTAGCACAAACAAGCATCAATGTGCATAAATTTTGCAAAACAAACGCTGACCGCAAGTGACTCATTTGCGCAACCTTACGCTTGACCGCTGTGCTCCTTCTAAATGGGATGTAAGGCTCATCCTTACTCCTAGCTGGAAAGAGGCACTAAGCGTTAGGAGACTTAAACGGTGGCTAGTTGGATAATCCTTTCTTAAAATTTCTAAGAAGGTGGCCAACCTTTCAAAAAAAAAAAACTATGAGCGCTCCCTTTTCAAAAGTATGCGTACATAGCAGGCTTTTACTAACCTGGCGGAACTGCTTTAAAGAGTGCAAAACTTGTCGGCCTCTCAATTCCTAGCGCTACAGTTACGACGTCTTTACCAGTTTGTTTATCAACTGAGTGAATGCCTCCTGTTTCCCAGTCACTCCAAAACAACCTGAAGTGTACAAGGAAAACAGAAAGGATAACAATGAAAAAGTACGTTGAGCTGTCTTAAAGAAGATTTGGTAGTTACAACATAATCATCAATCAAATGTTTTCTGCATTGTTTTTAATCTCTGTTATTCTATGAGATTTTCTCGCTTTCCCTTCAAATTGGAATATAATTAATTTTCCCTAAAAATTAATCTACACCCATTTCTATGGTGGTAAGAGGAAAAACTTGAAGATCATAGGGAAGACGGACTTAGCCAGTGATGTATTTTCATTTGCGCGTTATTCATCTCTTGCGGGAGAGGAATCAAATTAATTATATTGTGACACAACCAAAATCCTCCTCCCCCTCCCCCCTAAAAAAATCAGGCATTAAAGACTCATGGAATTAACTTGAACGACTCAATGAAATCCAGTAAAACTTATTATGTAACCGTAAGGCAGCTAAAATTTGTCGCGAGTCGCTCCCTCGCTTTTCCTACGGCCACGTAGGTCGAAAAATTACCTTTGGACGAATTGTCTATAAACAGTGTTTAGTTGCAAGCCAAGCGTGAGTTTACCTGTTATTCAAAATGGCAAGGGAAAAGGGATGATTCACGTGCGGAGAACTGAGCAATACACGGCGTCCACCTCCCTGTAAGCAAACAGATGTCAATCATGAGACCAAGTTTATCAAAAAATGAAAAAAAGGAAAAAAGTAAAAAAAAAACAAACTATATACTTTACCGTTAAGTCGGAGGTCTCTATTTTGTCGAGACCAGCGTCTGCCCAAAAGAGTGTCTGGGAAGCTTCGTCGATAACCAAACCATTTGGCCAACTTAAATCTCCCGATACGATGGTCGTTTGGCCATGTCCATTCATATCCGCTCTTTCAATCTTTGGTACAGTTCCCCAGTCTGTCCAGAACATCCACCTGGTTGTAAATCAATAGATAAGTGGTTTAAACCTTTATACCCAAATATCATTATGCCAAACTGTTTACTATACATTTCTGTTGATAGTCACAAGGAGAAATTGTCGACAGTCAAGAAACCCTCCCACTCCCATACCCTCATCTCCCGTCCCCTGGAGGAAACTCGCCGCTAAAAATAATAAATAGAATTACAAACCTTCTAGTCTTGTACAGGACAATTGCCCTCGGCTTGTCTAAGCCCCCCAGTAAAGTTCTACGACTATGTCCGTTCAGGTTCGCTCGCTCTATACTCTTGGACGTGACATCAGTCCAGTATATCAAGTCATTTTCAACATCGAGTGTCAATCCATCCACAATCCCAACATTATTCCTACATTGACACAAAAGTATTGCGTTCATATAAGTCTCCTATTTTGAAACGTATTTAAGAAACATTTCACAATGCGTCGTGTCTGTTAGATCACCGACGACGTCAAAAAAAGGAAAGAACCAACAAAGAGATACACGAGCCACAGGCTGGTTTATCACCAATGTTCTTCACACGTTTTGAATTCATTACATCTCTGTTCTCAGCTTAACTAAGCCCCTTTGTTAATTCGGATGAGCTCGCTCTTTACCATTAAGTTACATCAGTCCAGTATAATTAGTAATTTTAAACGCCTAATGTCAAAGAATCTGCAAAAAAATTTGCACTTCCTGCACGGGCACTCATCCAAGAGCAGTATTGATCACCTTTCTGAACAATTTTCGATTGAGCGTCGAAAGAAATCCGATATTGCGTCGGTTTTCCTTTACCTCTTTACCTCGCTCTGTGATTGGTCCAAAAGAATTGCGTCACTCTCTCAACCAATCAGATGCAAAACTAAAACCAATCACGACTTGGTGACCCTCGTTTCCCGAGGGAGGTTGGATGGTTTTTTACTTTGAGTTCTCATTGGCTCATTAATGTATTTTCCTTTCTTTTGAGTGGCTTTTGCGATAACTTTGGTTTTGGTATTACGATACTCGATCGAAAAGCGTTCTATAACTTTAGTGGACCAACATCATTCTACCAAGATAAATCAAAACCTCACTACAATTCTTTGAACGTGATTGTGGATAATTTCCTCACCTTAAGCTCTGTAATGGGTTCAATAAAAAAATATCATTGGGATCATGAACAAGACAAAAATAGATACAAGCTTTCTCAGAAAAGAAGCAAAGGCGTAATTTCTCTGAGATATACAAATTAGAGATAACGTCAAGATCTTTCTTTAACAAAAAATAAATCAGATTACCAAGCAATTGTTTCCTCTCCTCCGATTCCAGTCACAGACATTCGCTTTATCTTTCTATCATCGACGTCACTCCAGTAAATACGCTTATCTATTGGGTTGTAATCCAGTGCAACAAGCATGGAGGGATTTTGAATCTGCAATTTTTGAGTAGTGAATCTGTTTTGCTTTGTGTCCATAAACAGCTGCCATATTGCCTTAGGAGAGGCTACTATTATGGAATAACTGGGTAAAGGAGCTGTAAAATGGAAAAGAAAGTAATTTTTAGTCAACGTGTTATACGCTGCTCCTTTAGCCGTTGTTTGTTCTGGCAACGTGACTCTCGTCGCGAAATGCTCATAACGAAACGCTTCCCACGCAACGCTCGTCACATAACGCTTTTCACGCAACGCTCGTCACGTAACGCTTTTCACGCAATGCTCCTCACGCAACACATCGAGACATTTTTCTGAAGACAGGTTGTGTGTCTTGGCAAACCTCCACCTTAATTTACAAGGAAATGTAAAACAACTAAACGGGACAATTACTCGGTAGGAAAAATGCTTTTCCCCTTGTCCCAAGAAGGATTGCGCGTTGCGATGCTCTACCCAGTGAGCTACAGAGATCTTTGTTATGAGCTAGGCCTTACTACGACCTTGACAAAAGAAGATTAACCCTTTACCTCCCACGACCTGATTGTTAATTTTCCCCTCCAGCTGGTGCACACTTCCTTATAAATTAGTTACGAGAATTTGGTATTAGATTTAAGCAACAATTTCTACCCGATAAGTTTGAGTATTCTCATTACCTGTTTGCTAGATGATGTGTGGATATTATAGGGAGAAGGTACATATTAATCATCTTTGGGAGTTTTAGGGTTGAACGAAATCAAACATGTCCTACCTGAGCAGCACTTTGCAAAGGCATCAGAAGGTGAAATGTGGCAATAGGAGTTAGCAGGACAGATGTGTCTTCTACTCCCTCCACAGAAATAATCTCGTCGGGTTGACGGTCTCGTCAGGGGAGTCATACCATGGCAAGGAGGAGCTGGGGAGAGAACAAAAGAGGTACTGGTTAAGGACTTAGGCTTGACAAAAAGCTGCTGACTGAAAAAAAAGGGAACCACTGCGTCACCATCGCGCTCTTTTCGCAGAGAAAAATCGGGCGTATTGAGGACATTCTTACCCTCCATTTTCTGTTATATCTGGAGGTTTCGCCCCGAAGCTAGTTCGCCTCATACCATTTTTACGGGTTTTCCCCGCCCTGAGGTAAAACAAGTTCGCCCTTACCGAATTATTTCTTGGCCCCGCAAATCTATTGACTCGTTTTCTTGTGGTAGAACATCGGAATCATAGAATATTTCGGTCGACATGCAACATCACTGTCAAACTATAACAAAGGTCGTTCAACATGCAAATTCCGACCATGATAACAACTGACGCTCGAAATACTACAAGCAAGGCGAACTTGAAAAGGGGTAAAACCTCCATAAAACTTTTTCAGTGTATGTTTAAAAATCGGGGATAAAATGCGCCTCGTTTTAGAGATAGAACGCTTTGAGAGTATTGAACAATTTCAGATACATTACCGTGAATGAAAAAAAAAAAACGAAAAAGAAAACACAACCGTCGAGAAATTATGATCACTTAGCTAAAAACTATACGTTATCTCCAATCAATTGCCCAGAGACTCACCAACCCATACTGTTTATTCTAGTGTTCACGCTATAATTTGTGAACGAGTTCCTATCACAACAACCATTCTAAGAAAGGCTCCAACTCACCTTCCTGACAAGTCTTCCCGTCGTCCTTAAGCTGCAAATTTCCTGGACACGAGCACTGAACCTTCCAGTGACGTAATGAAGTACACACGTGGCTACAGCCGCCATTGTTTGTAGAACAAGAATCTGAGAATTTAAAAAAAAATTGTCTGAGTGGGTCTAAGTTGTAACGGCCTTTTCTTTTAAAATAATTAACATCTCCCTCATTCTATTTACAATACATTTTCTTTATTCAAGAAAATATAATCGCTTGGTTTATCCTTAGTGCATTTTTTACTTAAAAGCTACCTCACAACTTCTACATCACGAAAAATTTACTCCTAAATTTTCAAAGAAGTCATTTACTTGTGTCAATCTTTTCCAACCTTAACCCTTTAGGGCCCTAACATCAGTATGCAAATTCTCTACACTGTTCTTTATACATTTTACGAGGTACTGACAAGGAGAATTTGTTTAACAATCAAGAGCCTCTAAGGTAGGTGATAATTTCCCTAATTCTCATGACCTTTATCTTTGATTCAAGGATGATACTGTATGGAGAAATTATAGGCTAATCACGCTTTGGGTTTAAAGGGCAAACCATCCATAGCCTTTTCAGTTTCTCCCTTTCTCTTTAGCAGTTGTCCAATTTTCCACATCTCATCCATCCTAGACCAGCTTTGAACCTTTTGGTCTAGTGCTATCGGTTACATGTGTTTCTATTTCATCAAACTATCACTGTAATGTTCTCGTTTGTTTAAAAAACGATTCCTTTGCGTCAGAAAAGAGCGACAGATTTCTTGAATGTTGTCCCTAAAAGATACAGACCTCACTCTCATACTCAGTGCATCTTCCTCGGCGACTTGATTAAAAAGACGAATGCACTGGGAACGAAACTGTACTCACCACCAGTTGAAGAGACACACGTATCTTGCAATGTGCATGTCCATTGCGACATGCATGGCGGATCACAGAGAGGACGTCTGGCCTCTTCAACGTGATAAGACAGGACAACGCCAGCTTCCTGCCACGTAACAAATGCTTTTCTGCTTTTGCTGTTGTACAGTGTGATTGGATCCTTCTGCATCCTTCCAAAAGCAAGTTGCAGGTTGCCTATGAAAGAAAGATACGGGTGAGTTAGTTCCTAATGCCAGCGGGCGTTGTTAATGACGCAAGCGTAATACGTTTCGTCGTTCTTCCTCGTGTCTCTCGGGAGCCATTTTATAGAAATCGAGTTGTTGTTGTTTTCGTGAAACCAATGCAAGTCGTTATTCACGAGTCGTCTCGCCTTTCTGACCGGCGTAATGGTATAGCATACCACGTTGTTTTTACCATAATAAGTAGACCTTTTTTCAATACAAGAGGTGAAGTTACACGTAGTTTTGGATTCCCCTCCCCTCGCCCTTCCTGACTACACCTTCGACTGACCTTGTAAGAGTTCTCCCCCTATCACCCAAGTTCCCCGCCCTTGCTCCTGCCAAAACAGCATGTGGTTGCCGGTTGTTGGAAAGTACACGGCCGATGGCGCTCTCACGCGCCTTGTTGCCAAGCAACTGTACGGCTTCACTTCCCGCACATAGCGCTTACGAGTCACCAAAACAGAGGCTGTTCCAATGAAGGGTTTGCCTGAGTCCGTGTCTTCCCAAAACAAGATCAGTCTGTTGAGAGTCAACAGTTAAGGTCATTTCTTATAGAATCTGCACTGAGATTTTTAAACAACTGTGCGACGTTGTTAATCCTGAGGGATATGAAATTATGAAAGTAAGTATTAAGGATCGCTATTATTTTTTTGGATCAACATTAACATTTTATTGCGCGATTGTGTGGACCAATTTCTGTATCGGACCAATTTCTGTATCTGACCAACCGCGCACCTACCCCTTCCCTAGCCCCACATTAATCTAAGTTGTAATCAGTTGACTGTTTTTGGGTTTGGGGAGGGGTAGCTACGCAGTCGCTCAAATACTGACATTGACCCAAAAGCCATGTATATTACCTATATTTAGGCTGACATACCTGTCAGTGCGTTCATTGTAATAACCGCTGGTCTTTGCATGCGTGTTGTTAGTGTAACCTACAAAATTCTTTGTGTCAGCAGTCTCTGTGTTAGAGGCATGCACGCCGTTAGCATCGCGTTTGGTGAGAACCACCATATTGAGGCCAGGACGCAGGTTAAAATCGGCGTTAGACACTCCTCCACCCTGAACCGTACATGTGAAGTAAAATTCGTTCCTTTTTGAGTCAACGAAGATGTTTGGCTCATGAGCATTTCCTCGAAAACTGCAGACAGGATCAGACTTGAGTACCTTGCCTCTGGCGTCGGCAAACAAGCCTATCACTTCTTTTCGACTGTGTGATAAGACAACGGCTCCGACATAACCACCTTAAATAAAAAGAGACTTGATTTTTTTTCGTTTATACATTTTTTGGTTCAATTTTACATTTTCGTTTATTTTGAGTGTTACCATTTACTCTAAAGTATTCGAAACGAGGGAAAAAGTTAACCTTAACTACACTAAATTCAAGCTCGTTGCCATAGGATGGCGTTTATCATTTCTTATGTTAAAGATAAATATTCTATGCTGCTGAGAGTCTTTAAAGCTGTACTCTCAGAATTTAACACGCCAACAATAAAGTGAGACAGACAGTGGTGCAAAAAGATTCCAAAACACTGAAAAAAATGGATTTGAAACTTAACCCAAACCCTAAGCAGTTTAGTAAACTAAAGGCTCCGGAGGAGAGTTTATATAGTAACTTTAAAACCGAGCTTTATCTGTTTCTCTTTGACGGGCCTCTCAACCTGAGGGGTATTACGGTTTCCAGAACGAAAATCGTTTTGCACGCAATGCATGCCTACCTGTAACACTGTTGTACTTGATCAAGACATTCATGGCGTCCACCCAGTCACTAGATCCCCCCTTCCCAGTTGCCTTCACGAACAGCGAAGGCCCAGCAGCTCTCTCGGTTTGCCAACTCCTCACTCTCTGGCTTATTATGATGTATTTGTCGTGGAAGTACTGCCAAACACCACTGCGAAACTGGAAGACAATCATGAACTCATCTGCCCTATCATTATAGGCTACACTCGGCCAGCCTTGATTCGCTGAAAATCGAAAATCGACATCGTAAAAAAAACAAGTTATTCATTACGATTGAAAACTACAATAAAGAGGTTTATTCGTCTGTCTCGCAATATGATCATTTTCGAAGTGGATACTGATGTTTCATCTGCATACCAGGGGCGGATCCATAAAGTTTTGATAGGGGATGCAAACTTAGATTTGATTCGGAAAACACGACGGATTACCTCTCGACCAAACGACTAGCCCACTGCCCCCCCAATCCCCCCCCCTCCCCACTATCCTTCATTGGGGGTTACACGTCACATGACAGATAATTAAAGGGCACCACCTAGAGACACGTGTAAAGGATCCTGTCGTTGCAACTAGTGACGGAGACGAGGGAAGGGGAGGTTAAGGGAGACGGGGGGAGGGTTTGAAGAATACTCCTGACCCTTCTTTTACATCTGCTTCTGCTAATCTTCTTCAGACCATGAGGTCAGTCGTTGAAATGCACCAATCATAGCTGTCAATCATACACAACGCAACACATCACAATACTTCACGGGTTGACAATCAACTAGTCGCATAAAAACTTTTGCAAGTTTTTCAAATTCATACAATACCTGCTTTTCCGTTGAGGTTGGCAGTAAAATTCAGCATTCGTTTGTCCACTATTCTGGCGTTAGTGTCGACCCGCAAAGCAAACAGTTGATCGGGAAGATTATCTCCGTCAACGTCAAAATCAAACGCCACAAGATACTCGTTTCGTTTCGGATTCCATGCTGTGCTATGATGCAACACTTTTCCTCGTTGGCTGAGAAAACCTGGGACAAGTTTATACAATGCTCCTGTCTTTTTCACTGATCCAACGAAGGAAACCTGTAAAGATATTTGCAGTTTCAGTTACTTTCAGTAAGCAGTGGCCTGTTTGCTACATACATAAGGCGTTCATGTAAACTTCGTATAAGGAGCCTTGGAAACTAAAACAAGCTCATTATCTGACAATTTTGCGGTTGATACAGTGACGTGGCCAACCTCTTTCTGGGAGCGAGGTTATTATTATTATCATTATTATTATTATTGTCATTATTATTACTATTATTGAAGAAAGACCTCTTTTTGTCTTGTTCCGAAAGTGGAACAAAGGAAAAAAGTCTGGGACCCCATGAGGAATCGAACGTCAGACCTTTAGATGCGCGCTACGATGCTCTACCAATTAGCTATAGAGACTCTACAGCAAACTACAACGACCATCCTTTACGAGGACATGCACACCACAAACGGCTAAGATCAGCCAAAAGCGTCACGCGCGTAGATGGAATAGGAGAGATGTTTGAGCTCGGTAATGAATAGAGAAAGATGCTTTCTCGTCTTCTCACGAGCGTCAGACAAAAATAAATATTTGGAGGGTCCATGAGAAACTTTTAATGTAATTATCATCTCTGTTCGTTATAATCTTTATCACTGCACCGTTTATCAAGTTGGCGCGCAAGGTATTTCAAAATAACCTTTTTACCTTTCTAGCATCCACCAATGTCTCCTGCTGCCCTTCTCCGTCAACAATTGTCACTGCATAATAAAGGTCTACACCTAGTGGGGGGTGCAAGTCCTTGTAGCTGGTCTTTCCCGGGTTCTGAAGGGAAGCATCCTGTCTGCCTGACACGTAGGGTGTCATACCGGATACGTCGTTGAAATAAGTCGTTTTCCGATAGATGTTAAAATGACTAAATTCACTGTTTTGTGTCGGTTTCTTTGGGCTGAAATGGATATAAATGAAAAAAAGGTGTTATGTAGATGAAAGAGCAATTTTCCTTGGCTTTGTTGCACCTCGCTTCCTGATTGGTCCAAAAAAACTCACGCCACTCATCCAACCACTCAGATGCAAAACTAAAACCAAGCACGACTTGGTCACCTGCGTTTTTCCCGCGCATGGGGCAGTTTGCCTGTTTTTACCTTGAGTTCTGATTGGTCCCTTAGCATTATTCCATTTGCTTTGATTGGCTGATATGATAATCATGGTTTTGCTTAGCTAAGTTGTTTTCGTTTGTCTCACGATGTAGTCACGTTTGATGTAGATCGCGATCTACATCACACGTGACTATATCGTGAGACAAACGAAAAAAACTTAGCTTTTATTGTTATTTACCACGATGAAAATCACAATCTTTTTTACGAAATGGTTTTGCTTCTATGGCACTTAATTGAAATACCCTCTAAGCCATTTCATGACGGATAAAAACCGCTTTCATTAGTTGTCAGAAGTAGCCACAACGGTTAGTTCCGTCACAACAGGGAAAATTTAGTTAGAAAACTTAAAGTAAGATGGAGAAAACGCAAGCAAAAGTTGAGTTAGATTTCAGTTCTGTTCTTAATTACGACGGTGGCAAAACACTTCCGGCCCAATTACAATTCATTACATTCTTGATGTTCAAGATATAGAAAATAGGGAATATGAGTAAGAGAACTTTTGATTCTGAAACGCTCTTTGATAATTTCACTCACCTGTGAGGCAAATTGAGCCGATTCCACTGCAGGAGAATTCCATCGCAGTCTTGTTTTACCGTGAGATCCTGGACCTTTAAACCTCCACCCATGTCCACGCTTATTGTTTGACGCCGAACTCGCGTCGCTGTGTCACTCGGGATTGAGCGTTCCACAACGGAAACCTTCTCATCGATCGTGGCTGTAAGTCAACGAAAAACAATTAATTTAAGTAGTTAATTGATCAATTAATTGATTAATCAAGAAAGGATGATTGAGTAAGATAAACAGCTCAAATTTCCAAGGTACTTACGAATTTGAAGAGGATCAAGATCGTCGAGGACATGGCCAAAGTCGCTGTTAATAATTTCAATGTCCTCATCTAAAGCTATCGAATGGAAAAAAGTGAATTAGTTTGAAAGGCCGGTATGTGAGATATGATGGTCCTATCAGTAGACTGAGTTAAAAAAGAAAACTAATCTAACTATCCGTGCTGAAATAAGTCCAAATCCTTTTAATCCGCCGCCATTTTCGTATGCCCTTTCACTTCCTAGATCTGATGAATAATTCTCCTTACTGTCTGCCATACAATTCGTTTGTTGTAAGCTCGGAGAATTTGGTCTTAAATCAACTAATAATCCCCTAAATGATATTTTTCTTTATTCTCATCACTTGTCTGCTTGATATTGTACTGATATTATGATGAGAAATTCCGTCTTGGTCACTCATGGGAGTTGAAAGGTGTAATCCAAATCCGAAACACTTGATGACTTATTATGGTCTATTCTTAATGTTTGTTTTGACGTACTGCCAAAAATAACGTTACATTCGATTCGTTACATCTCGTTCAGAAAATATTATACAAAATTTTTTCCCTGCAGTCGCACATTTTTTCAGCAAATCATTATGGGAGAGCTTAAGAATACATTTGGCCGAAATTCCTGCAAGGCATCTGATAATAAATAAAGAAATATGAACGCGCCGGACAATTAACCGGTATATGTACTCAAACATAAGAGGAAAGCGAGATTACAATTGCCTTCAAGATCTCCTTTCTGCACGATGAGAACATGGAAAGTTTTAGAACAGTGTATCGATAAGCGAAAATTTCATTGTAATCATTCTGCTTTGACCCTATTTCACTTCCTTCTCCTTGTCCCCGCGAGGGGTCGCACTCGTGAAATTCGTGAATTTGGCGTGGATTTCTCGCGAAGATACTAGGGCTGGTTGAGAGAATCATCTTCTCCACTCCTTCATTAAATTCCGTGTTGGTGAGTCTTTCCAGTTCTAAAGCTTAAGGCTAACGTACAGGGAAATTAAACCAGGGAAAGATACGCAAGTAAGTATATTTTCCCGTTTGAAAGTTTCTATCATTATTTCATGTCAATCGCTTAAAGAAAAATACTGTAACCGATACGTGCTTTACAGACTTAAGATACGCGTCCGGTCTTGATTTCTGTGATTTATTACGAAACATCAGTAACTAACTGATTTGATTTTCCTTTCTGTTTGGTGAGCATTATTAAAGGTTAAACCCCGTGAAATTAAAGCCAGCCACAAGAAAGTTACAGAAGTTACAGATTGCGTCATTAACGCATTTCGACTTCAGTGGAGTGTATCTAGTGTGAGGATTCAGTGAATCGTCAAAGCTAACTCTTCGAGGATTGAACTTTAGGAAAGACTTTTGCTACCGTCTGACAAGCACGATATTTAGGCTATCTCAGCAATAAAAATAAAGGTGATTTATCAGTTGGTGGGACGATTGTTCTAGTTTGCGAGGATTTAAGAACTATGGGCCATTCGTACCGTGACAAAAGCAATGAACAACTCACCGTGCGCTATCACGACACATGACGAAAGCAAAGCCCAGAGCAAGAACATGGCTGAACCGCAGCTTTGTGAATAACAGCATTAAATAAATTTCTTCCCCTTTAAAGGAAATACTCGAGCTTCCCTTTTAGCAAGAAGGTGTAAGGAAGTAAAGATTATGTTTCGAAAAAACCAAGGTGAACAGTCACGCAACACATTCATGATGAGACAGCTGTGATGGGTAGCAGGGGGGACGTAACATTATCTAACCGCTATCGAGACTTATCAAATGACATGGATCTTTACACTTGTGCAGTGCCTGCAAAACATATTTGTAAGGCGTGGTGTTACAATTTCTGATTCATCTGTTGAGGCCCGCAAAACCGCACACAACGTAAGTCTGCTAGCGTAGAAAGACATCATTAGAAGAAAGAGAAATTATGAAAAAAAAATGAGCGCTGGTAAAAAACTGGTACAATGAAGTTATTTTTTAGGTTTCGCAAACCATAATTTGATCCTCAAGCTGGGAAAGCTCTTTGCTGTAAAGGTATTTCTCCTCAAACCAACAGCAATACCGACCTGTCTAAACTTTACTTAAGTGCCGCCCCCCTTCCTCCCGGTTCACTGATTGACAGTGCTGAAACTGTTTCAAAGCTCTGTTACGCTCTATAACCACCGCTGTTATCGTTTCTCCACATGGCTATTGTGTGGGAGAAGTAGTAAAGTTTGCATAGGCCATTATCTTTTGTGGATTGAAAAATATAAGCATGATTTGGTGGAGACCGATCTAAAATTTCGTCGATTGAGACACGAGGAACGCGGAACGCTTTGGTCTCAGAAGAGCTGGGGTTGAATTGCGTGACACAGAGCGCTGCGTGAGGAGTACTTCCTGCTGTGAATAAAAACATGCCCCTCACGTTTCCTCATCTTTATAAATATTCATCCGCAGCTAAGATAGTAAACGTTTTTTTTTTCTCGTTTCTTGTTTCTTGTTTTTTTTCCTGTTTCCTATACAGTGGGTAATTTAGTCTGTTCCAAAAATAGCCAAATTTACGAGCTTAAGGGTGTTAACAGGATACAACCCAGCGAACCAGACCACTGTAATTACAGGGCGCCAGCCAAAAGCTGAGGTTAAATATTTTTTTTCGTCCCCGAGCTCTTAAATCTCTGGCGTCTTACTGAAGCGTTCCTTAAGAGCACGCAACCTCGATCTCCGGGTTTTCTCTCTTCCTCCCTCGAGAAAGTAGTAAAGGAAGAGAGAGGACCCTGGAAACGAATTTGGAGAGCACTGCTTCAGTGGAAAATCGTCATTTTCCTTATCATAAGCCACAGATAGACAGCTTTAATTTTCTTTTAAAAAAATGAAGAAATATAATCGTATGAGTGATCATTATGTTCTTATTGACCACGCAGGAGGGCCGAACGGGAACATGTTTGGCTCGAGGTCATGCATGATATGGGGACCGAGCCAAAACGGAAGTCATCACGAGTGCCGAGAAACTCTTTCTAAGGACTCTCTCTTTTCCTATCCTGGCAACAAAGTAGTAAAGAATTACTGTTAGTCGAGAGTTGAAATTCTAGTTCGTAAAAACTAATTGGTCAGTTATTCCTTCCGTCTCAGGACTACCCTCACTCAACCGTCAAATGTTACCTTCAGGTTCAAGCCATTTACCTAAAATAAAAATGTATAAGAAAATTATTACGTCGTAAATTATTCTCATGATAAATGAAGCTATTAAGAGTTGAATGGTATTTTAGGAGTGAATACCATATCGAAGTGTTTCGTTTCAGTGACGCTGTGTAAATATCTAGATTGACATAAAGATTACGTTTCAAGGATTCAGCTGACGTGATTTCAGCCGCCGTGATTTCCTCAACACCCTTCGGATGCACACTCTAAGCCTTCACTCCCTTCTCCTGCATCTTAATTGCCCCACATCCACATAATTAATTTGTTTTTGTGTCGCAGAGGTATTCCTAAATGATAGTAACCCTCAATAACTGAAGATTTTCCATGAGCGCAAAACACCTTTGTGAAAATTTTCCTTTAAGGATGAAAAGATTAGAGTGCTGAACTGAGCTGAGATCCTTAACTGCAATCTCAGTCAGTCACGTTGAGAATCGATAACGGTTAGTTACAAATCCCAGGCAAATTATGGGGGAGTATAGAATCACGCCGTGACCAACCATTCACTCGCCCCCAGTTCATTCGCAATCTGTTTGCTTACGAAGGCCGAGCCCTTTAAGCCGACGGGACTTCAAAATAAAAATTTATTGGTAAATTATTATATACCTCAATCCCCAGGTTGTTTGATAAATATTTCTTCTGAATGCCATACACCCCTCTGTCAATTCGTTGAGACAGTTTGGTGCACGGTATGCCTAAAGAAGCCATTCTCCTTGTTAACAAAGAATTAGAATTAAATGCATGAAATTTAGAGAGCGTTTCTTAATTGCGTGTCGTAAAACCAAAACCAAAGTCGTCAACACAGCCAATCAGAAAAAAGAAAAATCCCTTAAGAACCAAGGAGAACCCAAATTAAACCAAGCAAACCGCCCAAGCGCGGGAAAGTTGTCATTGATTTTAGTTTTGCATCTGATTGGTCGAGTATGTGGTACGAGTTTTTTGGACCAATCACAAAGCTAAGTAACAGAAAAACCAATGCTAGCCCGAATTACTTTCGACAATCAAATTAAAGTTGCTCCAAATGTATGAGCAGGAAACAGGAGTCAATGAAAGTTTCTTCATAGCAATTTAATCATGATTGAAGCTACTCTTACAAATCTATTTGTCTCCTTGGAAAATGTCTCTGTTATACAAAAGTGTATATAAACCGAGCCCAAGATATTAAGCAGAATATATGAGATTTTCTACTATAAAAAGATGAGCTAGAAAAGTTCCTGTAATTGCATTGTCCAATAATGTTCCGCTTCAACCGTGTACAAACGTCCTGCTCGGTGCACTGGGTACGAATTACTGAGGTCACTCTTCAGGAAGCTGCTTTCTCCTCTTGAATGTCTAATCAAAATTCATACAAGACTACTATCAGCTTTATTTAGTAATAAAATAAGTAATTTTGATAACAACATCGCTTATTGGAATCGAAGTTAATGGTTAATGATCCTGGTTGACATCAGAGGCACGTGATCGTCGCATGCAAAGTCATGATCGTTCATGTAAGAATCGTAAAATAAGAAATCAGTGAGCCTGCAGTGATCGTTTTTCCGTCGCAGTGCTTCGGAAAAGCTTGACAGACGTTTGTTTACGAAGACAGTGCGTGCTCCCTAAATATAACAAGAGGAAATAAGGGAAAATGGAAGGAAAAGAATAGAAAACGAAAAAGGATGGAGAGTGGGACCATGAATCGAATCATTGTTGAATGAGAGACGAGTCAAATTTAAACATTACATCACAAAGGCCAAAACCTCTGCTGGAGCGTTTGAACTTTTCTGTGACTAAGGAGTTTCTCCCGGTCGAAGGTAGGCTAGCTAAACTTAACATATCTTACATTGACACACGGATAAATTCAACAAACGAGCAACTTTATTTTACGAGGAACTTCCGTTTACAAACATGCACATATAAATTCTTCAATTTCACCTTTCAAACTCTGACTGCCCAATAACATTTTTAAATAATAACCGCCATTTATTTGATTGTATCAGTCAACTTTTTATTAATCTTGGAAAGTCTTTAATTTTCATTTTTTTTTTATATAAAAATAATTTTATTTCCCATTTTAAATAATATGTTTATCTTTAATAAATGTAACTTGTAATCCAAAATATAAAACTGTAGATTTCTTTTACTTTTTGAAATTTTACTCCAATCTGTAGAGAGCATTTAATGATAATTGATAAAATTGCAAGGGCAGTAACTATTTCACATTTGTACCAGTAAGTGAAACAACTTCTCCAATTCAAGAACAGAGGGTTCAAAATATGACATGATCACAAAATCTACACACTACATTTCTATCAGGAATTATAAGTTTCTCTTCCCAAATCTGTGCATCAAACTCCAACTATCCAGCAACAATTCACTTTTCTCAAAAAGCAAGGACAAAAACATGAGGATCTTGCAAACTTGTTCCATCTGCCTGAGCTAACACTGTTCTTTCGTTACCAATAGATGGTGTAAGTTGTCGCCATGCATCTACCTCTTGCTGCATTGTCTGAATCTGAGTGCAGATTCATCACTGACTGCTGCACTCATTGGAAATTTCACAATTTCAGCACTCCAGCACAAACAACACAGTGCTTACTGCTTTTACAACTTTGCAGAAAAACTAAATTCTAATTTCTAGTGCAACAGACATGCTGGAAGATACATCTTAATATAAAAAATCATAACAGGACATAGCTTGAATATTCAAGAATAAATGCAGTCCAATTTTTCTTCTAGTAACCTTGTTGTAGTCATATGTGCTTAAATTGTGCGCTCACTCACAAAAGCTTCTATGGAACAACATGGTTGTATTTGTAGGGAAGTTCAACATTTGAAGCTTTAAAATGATTTGGTTACAATACTTTTTTTTTTTTAGATTTCAAAATGAAGATCAGCTTACTGGCATCTGTCAATCAAATTGTTTCGTCTCTCAGAACAAAGCACACTTGCCTGATTGTTTAGGAAGTGTATTTTTCTCCTGAGGCTCTACGTGGTTCAGCTTAGACTGGTCAAAGGTTTTAACTTCAGCTCTTGTCTCGGTTGCTTCTTCCTTGATTTCTGTTAGAAAATATTGATTGCTTTTGTCAATGCACAAATTAAGCCTAGAAGAAACTTCAACCTTTTGACCTCTAAGAGTGACTAACATCTAATTTCTCCTTACAATAATGAGCCTGAATCACATGTTAAGGTCACAAGAATAAAGGAAATGATCACCAATAAAAGAAACTCTTGATTGTTAACCCTTTTACTCCCAAGATCCAATTATTAATTCTCCTCACGAGCTGCTACACATTTCCTTGTAAATTAGTTAAGAGAGTTTGGCATTAGACCAAGATAACAACTTCTCTCTGATAAGTTTGAGTATTTTTATCACCCATATTAGAGGAAGCAGGGCGTGAAATTAACTTTTTTTTCTGATAGCCACTTGGCTCCTAAATTCTTCAAAGTTGTAGCCAATTCAAAAAAAGTTGGATGCCATTTTCAAAGACAAACAAAATCTTTCTTTACGCCGTCAGCGTTCTAGATAGACCCTCCAAAATTAAGTTAGGGAAAAGATCTTTAACGTGCTACAAAGTGGACACTAGGATGGATGATATACAACGTTAAGGCTTATCTAAATCCAAGATGGCATCTAGTTATTGATCGAGATGCATGTGCTACATTTTGGAAACAAACTTAATGAGGAAGTTTGCCGCAGATTTATCTTTACAAATCTTTTTAATTCACTATATCTCTTGGTAAGATTATGATGAAACGTTCTAGTCGCCAATTTGGCGACTAACTTTCAGGATTTGGTCGCCAAAGTGAAAAATTTAGGTGCATTTTCACACCCTGGGAAGAAGTTACAAGTTTCTCCCTTCTAGGAATTTAACGGTTAAGAAACTTATCCCTCTATTCATTTGACAACTGTTATATTCATATATTTAAAACCTTCTCTGTGCTGTCAAAACATACTGTACCTTCCTTTGTAGGAAGATGTGTCTTGTCCTGGGTTTCAACATGTTTCAGTTTCTTTGATGCATCAAATCCTTCAATTTCCTTTAACTCTGCTGTCTTGTCAGGTAACTTGTCAGGGATCAATTCCTCTCTCAGTGTTTGTGGTGTGGGTGTTGGGTTTTTCTCTTCTGTTTCAACATGCTTCAGTTTCGACTTGTCAAATGATTTAACTTCGGCTCTGGAATTAGTCATCTCTTCTTCAATTACTGATCAACAAATAAAAAAAAAAAAGTTATTAAGTAAAATAGTGTAGATCTAATTCATCTCCTTAGCAGCACGAGAAATTTTTATGCTAACACAACTGATCTTGACCCTTTTTTCCTTAGGAGTTATTAACATCTCATTCCTTGAGACAGTATCACCCCTGAATCAAACTGAGTTTACCAAACCAGCTCAGTTCAAATTGTGTTCAAGTTTCATCACTTTTCAGCACATTCTTCGTCCACAAAAAAAGTTTGAAATAATAAATTTTGAGTAGTCTAACACAAAGCTACTTGAGCTGACTTTTGTTGTATCTCTGGACTGTAGATCAGACATTTTTTCTTACAGCTTTGCTGTTGTTTACAGAGCAAAACTTTTGATTTAATTGAATGATTACAGTAGTTTAGAAACCTGGCAAATGTCTTCAAAGCACACTGTTACATTTTGCTCTGCAGTTTTTTAATTCCCTGTGTTTTAAATACATTCCCAGAAGTAAGAGATTCACTTTTGGGAAATTTCTCTCTGTCTGAATTTTACTTCTTAGACTAGAAATGATGAAAAATCTGATTTTTGAACTCGAAAATGGGGTAAACTTACACACGAGTTTGACTTATACACAAGTAAATACGGTAAATGTTGCCAACTCAAGAAGCTCTTTACTGTTAGGCAAATTCTCCTCGTAAGTAACATAGGAAACATATAAAAGCAGTGTAGAGAAATTGCATACTCATCAGATGAAAGGGTGTAAAGGGTGTTACAGCACCTGCTTTTGTTGGTAAAACTTCCTTCTGTTGGGTCTCAACATGTTTCAGTTGGGACTGATCAAATGATGTCACAGCTGAGCGGTCAGGAAGTTCGTCTGGCCTCAATTCTGCCACAATGTCTAAAATTTGAACAAAAGAAGGAAAAAATATATCAACTACCATGCATTTCTACACCTGGCCATCAAAAATAACCACCAAACTAACCTCCAACTCCTGGTAAAGTAACTTTTTCTTCTGTCTTCACGTGCTTGAGCTTGCTGTGATCAAAAGTCTTCACTTCTGCTCGTGACCCAATAGTTTCCTCCTTGATATCTTAAGAAAAAAAAATTTGCCAGATCCCATGAAAAAGATGAAATAACTAGAATTATCTTTATCAATTTCTACCAGGGTTTGTACACTTATTCAAAAACAAATTTCAAGGACTTTTCCAGTACTCAAAGTGAATTTTCCATGGCTCCAACTTACACCTTTAACACTTTCATTCCAAAGATTTCAAACTCAATTCCCCTATGATCTACATACATTTCTAATAATGTCAATTCTGAAAACTTTATTTCTTGAGTTAAGCAGATTTCCAGGACTTTCCAGGACTTTCCAGGACCTGTGGTCTTTTTTGCAGGACTTTCCAGTCCTGGAAAATTTCAAAATAAAACCACAGGACTTTCCAAATTTTTCAGGACATATACAAACCCTGTTCTAATCAATATTACTACTCTTAATCTTAGTAAATAATAAATTGCAACTAACAAAATTAAACACAATGAAAAGTACTTATTATTAAACATAATCATTGTTAAGTCATTTGTGCAATTTAAGTTCAACAATGTTCTCCTCTTCGGGTGGTAACCAGTAAATTTACTGCCTAAAATCACTTGAATTCTTGTTAATTCAACACATGAAGAGTTGCTTACACATTATATTTAAAATAAGGGAAAACACTGAATTAGTCTTTGGATAAAGGAAGATCATATTGAATTTTATGCGTATTTACATTAATTTTTTCCTTTTCCCACAGTTATAACAAAACAATCAACTGTCATGGCAGTCACTTAGCCAAAACTTACAAAATGCCTTCCACAAAACAACTAATGAATTCCAACTAAGTTCTTTGTGATCTTAGCTTGAAATGGTCCCGAGCTTCAAATAACACACACTGAATTTGGTTGGACTAATTTTCTCTTCCTTATCATGCATTGTAAGTTTGAACTTGGTAATCATAGCTGTACTGTAACAAATTTCAGCCTCACCATCTTGAGTTGGAAGAACTACTTTCTCTGTGGTTTTCACATGTTTAAGCTTGGTCTGATCAAACTTTGCCACTT